CCAGGACATAGAGACAGCAGGAACCATTGGCTCCTGCTGCTGTCAATCAAATCCTTAGAGCAGAGAGTGGGGCTGAGCCTGTAATGTCTATGGCCACACACAGCCAGCTCAGGAGTGCGCCCGCATAACTGGCTCCTTACCAGAGGCACTCATAGAAGAGGAGTGAAGAGAGCCGGTGGGGGACCCCATTGCACAAAGGAGGCAAGTATAACTTGTTTATTATTTTAGGAGAAAAACTAGCCTTTATAACCACTTTAAGTGCCACCTTTCTAGCTGAAGTCAGTATTTGTATAATAAAGCTCTGCAGGTATAAGTGCTCCTTAGGTGCTCTAATAGAAAGGCTAAGTGAAGGCCTCCACAATGTGATATATTAGCATCGCCACAGGTTTACTTCAACATTTTTAGCACCACAATTTCATTGAATTATGCAATATTCATGCTGGACAGTTAATATATTGTACATATATACAACAAAGTAAAAAACACACATGCCGAATATTTACATTACACTTGGAAAAACAGATAATACATAAAATAAAGAAAAAACAATTTGTATATTAAAATCGTTATTGGTTCTGCCAAACATAAGCTTTAATATAAGTTATAATTAACATTCTTTATGCTGCCAAGTTCATAAATTAAATTGGGAAAAATGTTTTGCTGTACTTCTCAAGGTTAATGAAGGAAGATTCTAAAAGGAATTCTTACAGCAAAGTGCACATTACAAACTAATACCTCCTTCAAAGCAAACTCTTTTTAATTATGAGCTGCAATTGCTGCGCTTTCATGCTGATCTAATGGTTTTAATACTCGGTCAATGATCCTGAAGAACTATGCCACATTACGCACCATACAGTAGAGCAAGATCTTCTGTCTCCTCTTTTATCCAAACAGTATATTTAATACATAAGAAGATATCTATTGTATGTATACATTTCCTAGGCCAAATATAAGACAACATGAAATCACATATTCTGAAAACCTTTACCTACAGTTTCAATATTGTTTTCATATAAAAAGAAAAGGAATCCATTTAAAATTAGGTAGTATTAATTATGGGAAATGTAATATGACAATAAATTAAAATAAAATATTATGTGAAATAAGTTCTGCAATATTGTCCAGTGCAGTCAAAAATCCACGTGTACTACTCACAAAGTTTATTTAAAGCTGAAATATGGGCAAAACAAATAATGAAGAGAGATGTGTATTCTTGCGTGGGCGCAGTGTGATTTGTATGCACATTTTATATGCGGTTTTACACTTCCATCACATTGGGTGCAAGTTCGCGTGCGATTTGCAAATTGTTTGGCAAGTCACACCCTACTGTCCGCTATTAGAGAGGTCATATCGGTGCGGTTCTGACTTGGTCAGAGCCACACCGATTTCTAAAGTAGTGCATGCACTACTTTTGTTGTGTGATTTGCATAGACATCTGTGTCAGATGTCTTGCAAATTGCAACTGAAATTGCAGGTCACCCAATTTTGAAATCGTGCGACTTCACTGTAGGTTGCATTATTTCAAAATCGGCTTTGATGTGACTGAGGGCTAAGGGGTGTTCCCACTGACTTCTATTAACCCCTTGACGCTGATCGCACGCAATATGCGGCCTCTCGGCGTCTAGGCCTTGACGCCGAGCAGCCGCATATTTGCGTGCAATTAGAAAATACATATGTGCTGAGAGCGTACGCCCTGCGTGCTCCCAGCACATATGTCCGCAACTCCCGGAAAGGTCCCCAATCTCCCCTTTTCCGATCATGTGACAGCGAATCACGGCGGTCACATGACCCTAAAACCCCGCCCCACCTCCCGGCTTCTGAAACTCTTAAAGGGCTGGGAGGCGCCGGCACGAAGAGGTTAAGCTGTGAGGTTTCTGAAAGCGCATCAAAGATACAGCTTACAGGACTCTGATGCATCTTCATAAAAATGCGCGGTCTAAATAGAAGTCAATGGGAGTGCATCTAAAACCGCACTGGTGTGAACCCAGTCTCAGGCAAATGTTTAGGGCAGTATGCACCCAGGGATGAATGCCTGGAACACAGACTTCTTGCGTTATGGGTATTCATCTCTGTGTGCATACATCTCTAAAAATTAGTACCGCTAAGGGCACCCATCCTGCCCCAACAGCCGTCAGACTCTCACCGAGTTTGACAGGTTGCCAGCAGCAGAGCTGAACGGGACACCTGTGACCTTCACCTGCTACATGTTGGAGTCCTATACACCGGGGCTTACTTGAATCTTGGGGTCCTTTGTGTATTTCTTCTGGATCAATGCATTAATAACCTGTTGACATTTCACCTCCTTTTATAATATGGTGTCCAGTGCTTAAAGTGAAACTAAACAGGTCCCTAGGTTCCCATGCCTTTCTTGTCCTCAGGAAAAGTTCTGAGGGAGGAATTTCTAGTACTTGTGGAAGAGATGGCACCAGGATGCACTATGCAAAGAAGGCAAGCCAGCGGAAGCAGGATGATGCATGGGCAATGTTGTGCTGGGAAACCTTGGATCCTGCCATTCATGTGGATGTTACTTTGGAGTTCATGGCTTGATGGGTCAGGGATGTTTTGGCTGCAAAATGGAGAACCTACTCAATAGAAGTTGGGTGGTGATAATGTTATGGCTTATTGGTGTGTATGTATACACACAGAGTGTATGTATAAATAAATTATATATATATATATTTATTACACACGCATACACACACACACACACACACACACACTTCATTACGTTAAAAATACAAATTCCTACATGCTTATAAAACAAGTATTTCCTCCTCTTCTCTGCCACGCTACAAAGCGTTCTCAGGCAGTGGTTTATGCTAGTTCTACCAAGAGTGCCAAGTTATTATCATGTACAGCAAGACTGGAGGTGCCATATTCTTGCTGACTCAAATGGCAAATACTGCAAAAAGTTGAAAAATATCATTATGCAAAAATATTTGATCTTATAAGTACTACATAAGCTCCTCATAGATAATTAAGGGAAATGTGTTCTGTCCCCAACAATATATAAATATATTTTTTTATTACATAAATATTTTACTCAAAGTCTAAACATTTTTCACCATCTAGAAACCACCTGTCTTCACTATACTAAACCCTGATAAACAGACTAATGTTATTTGTTAATAGGTGAAAATCTTATTTTAATATCCAGTTTTTATTAAACTTTTAGGGTAAGAAGTGATTGTATAATTTAAATAGGATTTAGAAAAATGTGGTGTGATCAACACTTTGTTACACTAGTACAGATGGTATAACTAAGGCTTCACTGAAACTAACTGCATTTCTCTGTAAACTAGAAAGTGAATACTTGGGGTTAATATAAATTATACATTGTTTTCTTGTAATTCAATATCCAGTGCTATATAAAACAGTAATGTCCTGAAACGCTGTTGTCACGTTGCTACGTTGCTTTTTTATTATGTCACTACTCTCTGTATTCCAAGTGTCTTTTATTAAAATAATAAAAAATTCTTTTTTTGCAGTGTGTTTGCACTAGAAGAGATGCAACATCACAAGTGGCGTCACAATACTTCCTTCTCGTATGATGGCTTTGACAGAGCTGAAACACCCCTTTGCATGCCTCTCCCTGCAGCAGTAGATCACTTCCATTGTAGTCTATGATTGCTCTGTTCTGCACAGATGAATGAGGGACTCGGTCAGTTCTGGTGAGATCTAATTCAGATTAATCCCCAGGTTCCAACAATCATGTTGGACTATCTGGAGAACTCTGCTGTGTACTGCACAAGTGTCAAATGCTCATGTACTGTAAGTGAACACAATGCCATTTAGATTTTTAGCAAGCACAAACCAGTGAAAAAGATGTCACCATGCTAATGTGTCCTTCCCAATCCAACTTGATCTTATCTTAACAAAATGCTAACCATTTAACAAAGCCAATTTTTTTTTGGGTGTTGCAATGTACCACTGAAAAGGGAATAAAGCTCTCCTAAAGTAAAAGGCAAATGTTTACTTTGGTTTTTACCAGTCCGTTGCATTATATATGATGTGATATTTTAATCAGCAAACTCTTTTTTTTATGTTAAGATAAATATCTGCAGATATGCCAAAAATATGGAAAAAAAGAGTCAGGAAAAAAGTATTTTCACATTTTTCATCATTTCTTTTGAATAAAAGGAAATAAAATATATACATCTAAAACTGCTGTCAAATTAAAGTTCTATTTGTCTCCAAAAAAAGTTATACAATGCAGTAGACTACACATGCTTAAAGGTATAAGGTGTAGAACCAAGACATTTCTGAATGAAGAAAATACTCTTTAGGGATTTAGGGTAAAAAAGACCCTGGGACTCGTGTTTATGCCAGATGGTTTAACTGGTTTAATTGGTCAACCAGTTTCCTTACAGATCGAGCACTGCTTGAAATCACCAGTACAAGCTGTCCAATCAGTTACAAACACAGAAATCAAACATCCAGGTGGATGCTTATTCCTGCTAAAAATCCCAGATACCCACACTGAAACCAGTGTAACGATAAGTTATTGGCGTGTACAAACCCCACCACACATAATAATGATAAAAATAAAAATACTTTCCAACACAATGAAAATGTAGCTATTGAAATACATTCATTGTACATTCATCAGTTTCAGTCATCTCCTGTTAATTACATAAATTATGTTGCTCATGGTTGACTGTGTGGACCTACTTTTTCAAGTTCCAATAGGAACACAATAGTCATTACTGAACTTATCATCGAAGTATAACTACTGATAGCTTAGCCCCTAGCAGCTTTTCATTTATATTCTTAATGCCAAGATAGGCAAATAAATAACAGGTCCAAATCTTGACTTTTATAATGGACTTATGAAAACAATCCAATCCATGAACCTTCTGGAAGAGTTGAAGGCACTGTCAGTAGCATTGGCTTCTTACAGTTTTTGGATAACAGTCAACAGAAAGCTGTGCAGATCCATACAGAAACTCATCATCAAATAAATAATCCCATACATGTAGTAAGGAAGACTGATTATAGTCTTATAATGCAGTGTTCGAAAGGACTTTCATATTCCCATTATGCTGCTTTGAAATAGGAATTCCTCTTTTGTACTTAAACCTGAAAATTAAAAAGAAAAAATATTTTGTTGACAAACATGATGTTGTACCTTTTGTCAATATTCCACAGTATTTATTGCCTATCTCATAAAACTGCACTGAATTGTAAAGCGGCTTTGCCCTAAAGAAAAGTTAACATTTTGTACACACACACAGTATATCTTTAAGCAGCTCAAGATCACATACTCACTGTTCTAAAAGAGAACTTATTAAGACCCCGTTCACACTATTGCAATTTCTCCCTTGTCACTTGCCTTTGTGCTCCAAAGCACAGCAATGGAAACCCTGTTATTCTCTATGGTGCTCATTCACATCAGTGCAACATGGTGCAGTGTGATTTTTGACAAGGTACAGGTGCTTCTTTTAGTACTGCTTTGTTTGTTTTTCCATCTATAATCGTCAATGGTAGAGCATGAAAACTGCAAATACATGAATTTTTAGCAGGGTTTTGTGTTTAATAACCAGTCTCCTTAAGAGAAGAACACACGGAGCATGAAATCATGCACAAAAACACGATGGAAAAAAGGCAATGAAAAATGCATGATTATACAGCAGCATTAGTGTGAACCTAGGCTTAATTAACATATTGTAGAGCTAAGATTTGTCTGTTTTACTTCCTTGGATACCTTGTAGAGGAGCAAGTTTTTACATTCATCTTCGTAAACTGGCTTCGGTCAGTACCATTCTGACTGTTGAACTATAGACATTGGTGTTTTTTGCCTGTTCCCAACTTTTGAATCACGGCATATCTATGCCAATCAGAAGCGGAGGACAGATTATTGGGACACCGCTGAGCTTTTAATCTAGAGAGTATAATGAATATTTAAAGTGGTAGTAAACTCAGTACTGAATAATCCTGTTAAACGCAGATTTGCACTACAATCCACATTACGATCTAACCAGATATATCACAGCACCATTAGAGTGTCCTTACTTTGCATCTGATGTTTTACATCTTCCAAATGCTTCTGATGCTGGTGCCATCTTTAGGAAAACCTCCTGATACCAATCCCACCTACTTTTACCCATCAATCATCCCCGCTAGCTGTCAAAAACCTGAACAGCAGTTGCATGTAAAAGGTAGTGCTGTTTGGCTGACAATTTTCCACCTGGCTCTTTACTTTTCAATCCAAGGATGTTTGGAGGGAGGTGACCAACAGAGTCACACATTAAATTAATTTTGACTGCATCTTTTGGAACTGTCTGAAATCAAACAATGTAGGGCCAACATTAGTCTGGAAATAGATGGATCGAAACTTAGCCAGTTCGTCTAGAACTGGCCAAATTGCGACCCATATATGGACATCCCTGTTTGACAGAAATCGATCAGTAGATCCACTTTTGTTGAATGGGAATGTTGGAAAACTTTTTCGATCAGTGGCTGCAGTCAATTGTGTGCAGGCATTGATGAGTGTATTCTGACAGCAGAGATTCCTGCTATCAGAATGTGATGCCTCAGTGGGGGAGATCCTTTCATCGACTCTCGCTTTTGATGATAAAGGAATCTGTTAATTTTTTCCATTCAGCCTGTTGGCTGATGACACATATGTGGCCATCTTTAAGAAAGCAGCCTTCACTGACTGACCATGGGGGCTGCGCAGTTATGCAGTACAAGTAGTAAGAGGTGGGGTGAGTGTAAAGGACAATCATAATCCAAAGGTAAGACAGCTAAAAGTAGAGTAGAGTGAGAACCTATACATCACAGGGCACTCCTGTACTAATAACAGTATTTATAAAATACTGATAACTGCTAAAATCCTAATACTCTACTACAGTATAGTTAGACAGAAATATACCTACAATTTATAAAAATAACCAATTGCCATGTCTAACAAATACAAAATTGTCACATACAGTATAGTGGAGTGTCAACTATACTGGAATAATTGATCAGACTAGATATCATTACCTTGTACTAACCATAATCATGTGCTTGTAAAATAAAGGGAAATATATATCTGACAGATAAAAACAAAGTGGTGAACACACATATTATAATAAGCAGGATTGTATGAAGGGTAGTAACATTTTAACTTTATTATAAGTTACATATTTCACTTTGTTCATATAGAAAATTAGAAACACTTTTGAACATATGCAATTTCATTTTATTTGTAAGTCAACTACACACAAAGCATAGGTATTTGGGGCTAAATGTGCCACAGTCATGCAAAGAAACAGACATACCCTTTCACTCTGAGCATCTCCTCAATAGTATCTGGCAAAGGCATGCCATTTGTCTCTGGGAGGAAGAGGGAAAAAATCCCCACAAGAACTGTTAGACTGCCCATCAATACAAAAGGAAGATGTCTGTCATAGGCACCTAGGAAAGTAAAGAAAAAGAATCAAACAAATGTTGTATTATCTTGCAAAAACATAGATCAGACATGTCACAATCTCTCATTACTACATTTGGCTGGGCTTGACACTTTTATAATTTGACTGAAAAAAACCTTCTAGATCCCATAAATCTAGAATTTCAAACATAATTTACAGCTACATTTTTCACAAATTTCTTTTTGCACCTTTATATACTAAAAGTGACACGAGGTGCAATTGGATTTAGTCACATAACAATGTGCTTCTGTTTCCCTTATAAACTGGGGAACCATTCCCCACCCCCAACAGCTTCCATTCACACCTTGCTCATACCAGCACCCCAGCTCCCAGAGATCAGTGTAGTCACACATCTAATTATATATTTGTATGGACAGGGGTAGGGTCAAATTGTCCGACCATGCTGCTCAGCAACCACAGGATGGATCAGAATGGGACCAAGTGCTGCATGCACTTGGTTCCCTAGGGGATTTAATGAAAATTTTATATTTTTTGTGATACTTCTACTTTTAACAGCAAAGTGAATTAGTATTTTTCTTTTTAATTAGGGAGGTGCCGTCCATGTTACTTTACTCATTAATGCCTGCTGTTTGAAGCAAGTTAGACATTCATTGCATGGTTACATACACAGATACACGACTGATTAGGCGGACAAAGACAAATGTCAAGTTAGCAGCTAAAAGTATTTAGTGGAGCAAATCTTACCAAGGTATACAAAATAAGGGGATAGAATGCTGCCCAATCTGGATGCCATAGAACTGGCCCCAACTCCCATGTTCCTTACTACTGTAGGGTAGAGCTCAGCAGTGTACACGTATACCATGGAGAAGGCTGATGTAATACCAAATTTCCCAAGCATGACCAGTACTATGGACAAGATGTTCAACTCTGGAATAAAACATACAGTTTAGGATTAACCTTCATTCTCACAAAACAGAGCTCAAATAACAGGAAAGTGTAGGAAATTTTCTACCCTGAAAGCAAATAATTATGACATCATCTTCCTTCCTCCTGTGCACTAAAATCCAAGTTCTGTTTGGTTAGTATGAATAAAATAAACAGTTACCAGAAATGTATATTCGTCAGGCTCACGATACCTATAGTATATAGCCAAGTAGAAATGAACTTTACTGAAGTCAGGTCAGTGATGAATACATTTACATTGTTGCTATTGGTTACTGAACTTACAAATTAGCTTTAAAAATGGCTTGCTCTGAAATATATCTAAAGTAACAATGCCAAAGTGTCTGAAAGTACCTGTGTTGGTCTTCAAATAAATCCCTGTGCCCTCATTAGCTGAATGACAGGGACATGGGTTAATCTTGATTGGGGAAGAATCAATGATTGCAGGAAAAAAAGAGCGACTGAGCTAAATGGGAGAGAGTGGTATACACTGCAAATGGTACTGTCACATGCTTTATTTTCCTCTGCACTAAAGAAAGCAGACTCTTACAAATCAATCGATCTGGCTACACACTTACTGTACATGAGGTCTCTGTTCTTAGAGAAGGAAGAGAGACCTGCAAAACATTATATTATATGGCCTGAAAGACTGAATGTGAAGCAGTACACTAACCTTCAACTGCAAATTCAACTTCTATATAAAAGTTTCTAGAAAGGAGTACGGTGTAAATACACAGTGATATTCTGCTTATATTTCTATACTTTTTTTTATATGTGCATTACATTGCATATGATTTTCTGTGGTACTGGAACAACCCATAAATATAATTTTGATCTGTGAGTGACAAACTTGCATTGGAGTGGTATATTCAGCAGACTTGGGTAATGTTACATTATTTTTATTAGATGAAAGCAAATTTTATACTGTAGATAAAAATACTCCTGAGAAGTGATTGCTGGGGAATAGTTGCTTTTTGTGTTATTTGCTATTTTAGGCATGTGTTGAGAAGGTGTCACAACTGAGCAACCCTCATCAGTAGGGGTGAGTGCTGTGAAATTTCTGCCATTTATTTTGAGCCTATAAAAATAGCTAAGAACAGAGGAAAAACCCGAAGAACAATACATTTTGCACCATTCTCACAACAGCTGGTACTCCCACTGCCTTGGCATTGTCTGACTACACCCTGACTGGGTGTCCTTGAAGAAGGGGGGTCCAGTAGTACAGAGAGAGTTTTATTGCTCTGAGCTTCAAAATGTTGATGGGGAGCTTTACTTCAGTGTGTGACCAGGTTTCTTGTGAGGCTGGCATGTTATGTGTGAGTGTGGAAGAAATTACTTTCTCAACAAGTATAAAAGGCTAAAAATCAACCCTATGTGGCTTACGGCCAAAGTTAAAAAAGCTATAGATAATAAGAAAATAGCTTTTTATTAACTATAAAAATGAAGGAACGCCATCATTGTTTAAACATTCCAAAGAATATAACAGAAAATGCAAAAAATAAATAAAGGCCGCAAAAATTGAAAATAAACGACAGATTGCAAAAGATAGCACCAACCCCCAAAAATCATTCAAATATATTAATAGTAAAAAGATCCAGTCCGAGCATGTAGGCCCTTTACAAAATATATAAAATCACACTTGTGATATTGTGCAAATAATCATTGGTATTTTAGATAAACCAATCTAGCAAATTACTAGACCAATGTGGACTGTTTTTGTGTATATTTTTTCATATATATTTGAAGCACTTGTCACTTTATTGTGGATTGATTATTATATGTATTTTTTATATTTTTTATATATTTTAGCACCTGTCACTTTTGTGTGAATAGATTAAGTGACACATCACTGTATATTTCACTTTATTGGTCTAGTCATTTGCTAGATTGGTTTATCTAAAATACCAATGAGTATTTGCACAATATCACAAGTGTGATTTTAGAACACGTAATCACTGTATATTCATTATTTTATTTGCATTATTTAATCATTTTTACTGCACTTATATATAATTTATTCAAGTTTACATACATTTATTTGTAGTTTTTGGCACATAGCTCATAGGGTTGTTAGAAGTTTAACAGACTGTCAGACCTGGTCTCAGACACGGAGGACCTGGGAAATAAATTGTTCAAGGACCTGTCTGGATACACGAGTCGCTCACATGTAGAAATGGGGGGCAAACATTCATGCAGAATTCCAGCCTGTGGTTTTGAGCCCTATAAGCTGAGCAAGTCTCCAAAACCCTGAGATTTACTGCTGCAAAAGTTATGAAGAAGAGAGGTGTGACTCCTTCAATTCTACCAAAAACCTACGCTGAGACAGGAATGTACACTGGCCACCTGGGATGTTGCTGCTCATGGTTTCTAAGTGAGAGCCACACAGAACATAAAGGCTAGACAATTCGCTGTGCATCTGTGTAGACATCAGTCCCATGCAAGAAACAAGTTTAGAAACTTACAATAAGCCATCACAACTGAAGCATAGGTCTCAAGAGATATTGTACATTCGTACTTGGAAACAAACAAAGGTGAAGGTGGTGGAGGAATCACTTCTGAAGGAATCCACCCATTGTGACATGGCCTGATAGAGGGCAAACCCAGCCAATTCAAACTGGGATTTAAGGAGCGATTCCGAATTCGAATGCCAAAAGGTGAGCAGTATCTTAAATTTCCTTGCAAAGGGTAAAAGTTCAAGCACACTCTCATGTGGAGCCCAGGGCCCTTCAGGGTTATTCCATTCCATATAGAGGAAAGTATCAAACAGTGGGTGTAGTGGAAAGGTAATTTGCAGCTGTAGGCTGTATAATCCTGGAAAGCCTGAATAATCCTGGAAATCTGAAACTGAGTCAGAGATACTAACAAGGGCTTTAAGGGGCTTAGGAGGGTCAGCAGGCAGAATGTCCCAATATCTGAGTACAGTCAGTTCTAAAGTCCTGAGTGGGAACAGATGTCCTTGTGGACATGGACTTGGCCTCACATACCACAGTTGAGGAAGACTCCGATGGTGACAATCCTAGAACAATAAGGGACTCTAGATTACAAGCAATAATTCCTTCCTTGGGATAATAAGTAAATGCCCCTAGAACCACTACAAAAGCATGAGCTGCGGTCACCTGTCATAACAGGACTGTCCCCTCTAAGTGTCTTACTGACACAATGTGAGGCAAAGCTTCATGCACTCATAAACCTAGGCAGCTGGTGGATGCAGTTGGTGCTTAAGGAGCAGGAGCAGTAGCAGCAGCAGGGCAATACTTCATCTAAGCAGAACGGCATAGATAGCAGGAAGCGCACATTGCTCCATCCAGTGTATTATACCTCAGTGTTCAGTCCCTCAGCCTTATTCCTTACCACAGTGAACCAACTGTAGTGGGTAATTTAAAAAGGTGACCAATGGTGTAACAAGGAAGTAGCTCCCTGTGTTTCAGTCCAAGCAGCCTTACTTTTAAAGTGAGTCTTCAAAGACAGGGTCACACCTAGGGCTGTATCGCAGCACTGAAACTGGAAAGTACTCTGCACAAAACACAGTACATTCAAGTCTGGAACGTGCCACAATACAGAGCCCAGCCCAGTGCTCAAAGGTCACACTCCAGGTCTAGTCTAGTACATCCAGTCCAGCAGGGACAGGGTACAGCATCCAAAGCTAGTACTGAGGATCCAATCCAGATAGGTGCTATAAACCAGCTCAAGTAACTGTGTTGTGAAGAATATTGAGGTCTTGAAGTCCTGTATGAAACATTTTCACAAAGAAAAAGAAATTAGGCAAGAAGAGCTGAGGAAAATGAATTCACCTCCATAGGGCACTAGCAAAAAACTGAGGCATGCTCGGTAGCAGATATGGGAGCAAGCTTACAATGTTTGACAGTGTCAAAACCTCATTTAGGCTTCAAAATTTGAATTCCCATGTCCTACAATGAATGATAAAGAAAATACAGATAATGATCCATAAATACAAAGTTACAGTAATTTGTGTCTTCTACATCTGCCAGATCAGCTTTAAAGTAAAAGTCCAGGCTAGAACTAAGCTTAAAATGGCTCCCAATCACCTAACTCTTATACTGCATGCCCTGTACAAGGAAAATGTTTATACTTGCCTATTCTCAGAGAACTCAGGTCTGGTCACGTGGTCTCCCCAGCGGCTGGCTTTATGGAATGGGAGAGCACCGGAAATGGATGGGCTGTGACATTACCCACTTACTATGGGGCATCCAATGTCGGCTGTCCCACCTCTCCTCTGACATTGGTTGTTGAGGGCTGATCACATAACCGGACTGAAGAGCACTAAGAATAGAGTAAGTATAGTATCTTCCTTTTACAAGGTAGTTCGGTTAGAAAGTGGGTGGGAGCTGTTTTAAGCTTAGTTGGTTGTAGCCCGGACTTCCACTTTAAATTTACGTTTCTTTCCAGGGTAGGCTCCACCACAACCCTGCATGCTTTATTATGCAGACCCTGTGTAATCACACTGTGGTAGACTGTTTCTCATCCTCTTTGCCTCACTGTTGGTGAATGCGACCATCTATCACAGTCACTGAGTAAAGTGGTCACTGCAGGACCAACGACCAGTTCTTGAAAGAGCATAGAGGTGAAATAGATGAACACATCACCTGGCCATATTAGCCTTGAGTTCTCATTTAACCTAAAGAGGTCTTTTAGAAATCGGTCTTAAACAGGGCTTCTTTGATGTAGAAGTATTAATGATTTAAAAAAAGTAATTGCTGCATTTAAAAAAAGATTAAAATATTGGCAAATAATCTAAATTGTAAATGCTAAAGCACATCTCACCTTGAGGCACAAGTTGGATTAACAGAAGAACAGCACCCCCAAGGAACAGTGTGCTTGATGTAGAGTATCTGCGAGAAAAGCTTCGAAGCAGCACCCATGCTATGATGTATGCAGGGACTTCAATGATAGCAGATAGAAAACAATTCAAGTAAGGATCACCATGCAAATTAGGAGTGTTTAGTGATAATCCAAAGTATCCTACAGATATAATCATCCTGCAAAAGATATATTTTGAAAGGTGACACAAAGGTAAAATTTCTTCCGTAACTCAATGCAAGTTAAAGCCCAACTCCTATAAAACTATATAATCCCCTTGCGCTCCACTAGTATGAACAAACACAACCCCAAATATATGCAAGCTGCTACCACCTATTCCCAATACCACAGGATGTATGACATAAAAAAAAAAAACAATACTGGTGAAGCGCTTCACATGAAAAACTAAATAGTAGGTGCAATGATATAACAATACATATAAAGTGACCACACTGTATTGAAAGGTATTGATAACTAATGCTAAATAATCCCCCCAAAAAATATATAAGTGCTGAAAGAGGAGGAGGAGGAGGAGGAGGAGGAGGAGGAGGAGAAGAAGGAGAAGCAGAGGAAGCAGAGGAGGAAAGGAGGAAGAAGAGGAGGAGGAGAGGAGGAGGAGGAAGTAGAAGAAGAGGATGAAGAAGAAGAGGATGAAGAAGAGGAGGATGAAGAAGAAGAAGAAGAGGAGGAAGAAGAAGAAGAGGAGGAAGAAGATGAAGAGGAGGAAGAAGATGAAGAGGAGGAAGAAGATGAAGAGGAGGAAGAGAGAAGAGGAAGAAGAGGAAGAGGAGGAAGAAGATGAAGAGAGGAAGAAGAAGAAGAGGAGAAGAAGAAGAAGAGGAAGAGGAAGAGGAAGAGGAAGAAGAAGAGGAAGAGAAAGAAGAAGAAGAAGAGGAAGAGGAAGAAGAAGAGGAAGAGGAAGAAGAAGAGGAAGAGGAAGAGGAAGAAGAAGAGAAGAGGAAGAGGAGGAAGAGGAAGAAGAGGAAGAGGAAGAAGAGGAAGAGGAAGAAGAGGAAGAAGAAGAAGAGGAAGAAGAGGAAGAGGAAGAAGAGGAAGAGGAAGAAGAAGAAGAGTAAGAAGTAGAAGAGGAAGAAGAGGAAGAGGAAGAAGAAAAAGAAGAGGAAGAAGAAGATGAAGAAGAGGAAGATGAAGAAGAGGAAGAGAAGAAGAAGAAGAGGAAGAAGAAGATGAAGAAGAGGAGAAGAGAAGAAGAGGATGAAGAAGAAGAGGATGAAGAAGAGAGGATGAAGAGGAAGAAGAGATGAAGAGGAATGAAGAAGAAGAGGATGAAGAAGAAGAGGATGAAGAAGAAGAGAAGAAGAAGAGGATGAAGAAGGAGAAGAAGAGGATGAAGAAGGGAAGAAGAAGAGGATGAAGAAGGAGAAGAAGAGGATGAAGAAGGAGAAGAAGAGGATGAAGAAGGAGAAGAAGAGGATGAAGAAGAAGAAGAGGAAGAAGAAGAGGAGGATGAAGAAGGAGAAGAAGAGGATGAAGAAGGAGAAAAGTAGAAGAGGATGAAAAAGAAGAGGATGAAGAAGAAGATGATGATGAAGAAGAAGAGGATGAAGAAGAAGAGGAAGAAGAGGATGAAGAAGAAGAGGATGAAGAAGAAATAGGAATTCCAGTCCGGCAAAAAGTGTCCCTGCAGAGAGCTCCGCTATTTCTTCTGGCAGTTCCTTGACATTTATAGCGGTTGCAACAATGTATTTATTTGTTTCCGAATAAAAACATCTGTATCCTAAATGGCTACAAATAGATACATTGTTGCAACCGCTATAAATGTCAAGGAACTGTCAAAGAAATAGCGGAGCTCTCTGCAGGGACACTTTTTGCCGGCTGTAGACGGGATGAAAATCGGCCCGATTTTTTTTTACCGTTGCTGGTAACATCGGCCGCTTGAAAGACCGATTTTTCGTTTTTTTAAAGAAAAATTGGCCGATTTTCGACCCGTCTATGGCCTGCATTACTCTCAGGAGCTCAGGGAATTCAAGCATGGTACCATGATAGGTTGCCACCTGTGCAATAAGTCCATCCGTGAAATTTCCTTGCTACTAAATATTCCACGGTCAACTGTTAGTGGTATTATACAAAGTGGAAGCAACTAAGCCAGGAAGTGGTAGTCCATGTAAAAATGACAGAGCGGGGTCAGCGCATGCTGAAGCGCACAGTGAGCAGAGGTTGCCAACTGTCTACAGAGTCAGTAGCTAAAGACCTACAAACTTCGTGTGTCCTTCAGATTAGCACAACTACAGTGCGTAGAGAGCTTCATAGAATGGGTTTCCATGGCCAAGCAGCTGCATCCAAGCCTTACATCACCAAGTGCTATGCAAAGCGTCGGATGCAGTGGTGTAAAGCACGCTGCCACTGGACTCTAGAGCAATGGAGACATGTTCTCTGGAGTAACCAATTGCGCTTCCCTGTCTGGCAAACCGATGGATGGGTTTGGCGGTTGCCAGGAGAACGGTACTTGCCTGACTGCATTGTGCCAAGTGTAAAATTTGGTGAAAGGGGGATTACGGTGTGGGATTGTTTTTTTTTAGGGGTTGGGCTTGGCCCCTTAGTTCCAGTGAAGGGAACTCTTCAGGTGTCAGCATACCAAGACATTTTGGACAATTACATGCTCCCAACTTTGTGGGAACAGTTTGGGGATGGCCCCTTCCTGTTCCAACATGACCGCACACCAGTGAACAAAGCAAGGTCCAAAAAAAAAAAAAAATGGATGAGCCAGTTTGCGGTGGAGGACTTGACTGGCCTGCAGTGTCCTGACCTCAACCTGATAGAACACCTTTGGGATGAATTAGAGCGGAGACTTCGAGCCAGGCATTCTTGTCAGACATCAGTGCCTGACCTCACAAATGCGCTTCTGGATGAATGATCAAACATTCCCATAGACACACTCCTAAACCTTGTGGACAGCTTTCCCAGAATAGTTGAAGCTGTTATAGCTGTAAAGGGTGGGCCAACTCCATATTGAACCCTACGGACTAAGACTGGGATACCATTAAAGTTCATGTGAGTGTAAAGACAGGCGTCCCAAAACTTTTGGCAATATAGTGTATACATTAACTAGTAGTAGGTAGACACATTCAACTGAAAGTTCTATACTGTTGAATTTTGTGCATATCCAAGTAGCTCTTTCCTTTCTGTACCAAAGAAGCTGCTCTGGTAATCAGCAAAATGTCTTAAACATTATAAAATAAATCTACTAAGCTATATCAATGCAATAAATAGCTTGCATGAAAATATTGTGGCTATTTTTGGTTTTGGAAAAAAATTTAAATAAACAAAAATGAATTCAACAAAAAGGTGAATCAAATTGTAGAAGTAATTGAACGCAATGATGCACAAACTAAACATCTGCTAATATCTCCTTCACAACACAATATAATCATAACCTCTATATTTTCTAATGATTAATTCAATCCAGCTATCAACATCTCTATTTTTTATGTTAGTTATATTATGGAACTTGGGTAACTACCCAATATTTTCAAGCTTAACTCAACGTAATTAGCTAAATACACAGTTGAAATACTGTGAATTGTCTGAACTCTTAAAAGATTTGTAAATTGTTTAGTTCTCAGATCCAGTAGGTGCAGGAATCTCCTTCTTAACAGCATTGCCAAATTGGTGACAAAAACATCTCGGTCACTGACTCGCCCCACTCTGCTGAATGGGCAATGAAAAAGCAGCAGCAAACAGATGAAGTCATCACTTTGCTCACTCCTAAATCCTTTACTAACATTTTTACAGTGGTAAATGCAGATTCTTCATCATGACATGCAAGTTTGCTACCCACCAGAGTAAAATTGATAGAAATGTCACAATACGGATATTTGTCGTTTTAATTAGGTCATAAAAGGTGTAAGGCTTGTGAGACTGGTCCTTCACATCTTGCAACTGAAAAAACAAAACAAGAAAGTGAAGAATTAAATGCAAGGCATCTAGATATTTAAGCAAGTCTTTACACAGTGTTTCTAACTGGGGACCTATATAACAATTATGTAACAGAATAGAAAAACTGTGACCTTGTGGCACTGTGATCATGATCATAGGATATCACAGAAAGCACTCTGCCTTCATATAGTTTCTACGTTTCCTCCATGTTCATGTTGTTTTTCTCAAACAGTCAAAAAAAAAAAACAGTAGTAGGACAATTTGCTTCTTTTTTTATTAAAACAAAACAAAAAAACCAAACAAAAAATAATTATTTATATATATATATATATATATATATATATATATATATATATATATATATATACACACACATACACTGTATATATATATAATCACATACAATTTCAATACAAGACATATTGTAGTTTAATGTTATTAAAAGTTAACTAACCTTTTTCTATCTCAATGTTTTATCACCTGCCCATCACAGGTTCCAAATGCCAGGAGGCGGACACGGGCATTCCAATCATGTGACCACTGTGATTGGCAGTCACATGATCGGAAAGCTCCCAATCGCAAGTATGTATCGGGAGCTTTACGGTATCCACTCTTTACTGTGCTAAGAGCGCTGAATAATAGTCAAAAAATCACTCCCATTTAGATCCACTTTACACACAAAAAACAGCTTTTTCTTCAGAACAGATAAAGGTAGGACTCTGCAATAATGTTTGTTAAAATCAACTAGCTTTGTTTGCTGATGAATAATTCAATGTACATTGATCAACCAGTAAGGATTGTTCTTTTTCTCAACAAAAGTAGAGTTACTCTTTAAAGTGGCCTTCTTATATGCATAGGTTTTTTGCTGTGTAGATTGCAGAGGTAGTGGTTTTAAATGATACACATAATAAAACTGGATACTAACAATTATAGGTAAAATTGATCCAGGGATATTTGATTGCCTCTCGGGGGATCAGGAAGGAATTTTTTCCCATGCAGGAGCAAATTGGATCATGCTTTACTGGGTTATTTTTTTTGCCTTCCTCTGGATCAACTGTGGGTATAAAATTACAGTATAACATTTTCTTTATGGTTGAACTGGATGGACTTTTTTCAGCCAAACTATGTAACTATGTAAATGTGCAATATTCTCTGGGAGTTTTTAGTCATATAAAGAATATATAACTTTAACTACAAATAAACAAATAAAGCATAAACTAGAAAAAA